GAGAAGGAAGAAGGAGGGAGTGAGGAGGAAGAAAAGAAAGAAGAAGGAGGAGAGGAAGAAGGAGAAGAAGAGGAAGAAGAAGAAGAAGAAGAAGAAGAAGAAGAAGAGAAAGACGAAGAAGAAGAAAGAGAAGAGGAAAAAGAAGAAGAAGAAGATAAAGGTGAAGAAGTCTCTTCCTTCCTCTCACCTTGTTGATTCCTTGATGTTGGTATCCTTTTGAAGAAGCTCCCTCTCCTTGCACAATCCCCTCTTGGTTATGGCTTCCTTCTTCTCCAAGCCCTTCTCTCCTCCTTACTTGCTCTTCCTCAGGCTATGGCAAACTCCCCCAACTATGGCTATGAAGTCCTTCCCTCTAGGAGGGCTAATGGGGCTCCTCTAGACTCTCCTTCTCTCCTACACCCAAGAGGGATATTGCGGATCACCTCCCAAGTGTCTCTCCCACCATCACTATTCTCTAGAGTCCTCCCCACTACCTCCTAATCTCCTCCAAGCTCTCCCACTAGCATGGGCTCCTCCCTCCTCACTCCAAGTGCAAAGGTGCTCCTGTGAGCTCACTTGGGCAGCATGGGCACTCCTCATGCAAATGTGAGAGTGGCGGACTGCATCCTCAACTTATGTAGGCTGAAACCAGCAGTCCGGCCAGCCCATGAGCCTCTCCAAGTGCCTTGGGGTGAGCCGAGGTACCCCCAAGGCCAAATTCCCCTACTAGGCCCTTCCGGAGGTACCTGGGCCTCATTTTGGCCAAGTACATGCAGTCCGAGTGGTTGGTACCAACTCGGACTGCCTCTTGGCCTACCCCGGCCTCTTTTTCGTTGCTCAAATGCTGCCCCCTAGGGTCCTAATGCCCAAGGGGCAGCAATACTTGAGAGAAAAAGGCCATGTGGGCCTTTTCCTCGATTTTTTCAAGTTTCGGCCTCCCTTGGGTAGGCCGGAGCATTTTTCCAAGTGGCGGCACATTTTCAGCCTTGGATCTGGCTGAGATCCAAGGCCAGCAATAATCCGAGCTACCCCTTAGTAGCCCTTGCTTCAATTTTGAGCCCCTAAGTTTATTTTTTCAATTTTTGGTGCATCTGGCTCCCTTTTTGGGCCAAATGCACAATTTTCTCATTTTCTCTCTTTTGTTTCTTTCCATTTTGGGCTGCCACCTCATTTTGGAGCTAGCCGTTTTGTGTTGGCCCACAAAAAACGGCTAGTTCCTCTC